TGTTTCTGTTTTAATGTTGAGATCTGTGATCCATTTTGATTTGAGTTTGGTGCATGGTGATAGACTTGGGTCTATTTTCAGTCTTTGGCAAGTGTCAAGCCAATTTTTCCAGCACCATTTATTAAAGAGGCTATCATTCTTCCATTGAATATGTTTGGCCCCTTTATCAAAGATTAGGTGGCTGAGTGTGTTTGTGGTTGTGGCTGTGTCTTCCAGTCTGTTCCACTAACCTTCTGGTCTGTTTTTTAGCCAGTACCATGTTGATTTTATTACAGTAGCTTTGTAGTATAATTTCAGGTCAGGGATTGTGATTCCACCTGACTTGTCCTTGTTGCCCAGGATTGCTTTTGCTATTTTGGGTCTCTTCTGGTTCCAGATGAATTTAAAGAATGTTTTCTCTAGATATGTGAGGTATGCTAATGGTAATTTAATGGGAATTGCATTGAATCTGTACAACAATTTTGGTAGTATGGCCATTTCCACAATGTTGGTTCTTTCTATCCATGAGCAAGGATTAGTTTTCCATTTATTGAAATCAACTTCATCTCTTTTTTCAGAGTACTGTTGTTTTCATTGAATAGATCTTTTACTTCTTTTGTTAGACTGATTCCTAAATATTTCAGTTTCTTGGATGCTATTGTGAAAGTATGGTTTCCTTAATTTCTCTCTCAGTCTGTTTGTTGTTTGTGTATAGGAATGCTATCGATTTTGGGGTGTTGAATTTGTATCCAGCTACATTGTTGAATTTGTCGATTAATTCAAGGAGTCTTCTTGTGGAGTTTCAAGGGGTCTTTCATGTAAAGTATCATGTCATCTATAAGTAGTGATAATTTTATTTCTTCCTTTCCTATCCTTATTCCTTTTATTTCTTTCTCTTGTCTAATTGCTCTGGCTAATGCTTCCAGAACTATGTTGAATAGGAGTGGTAACAGTGGACATCTTTGTCTTGTTCCTGATTTTAAAGTAAAAGCTTTCAGTTTTTGTCCATCAAGAATGATGTTGGCTGTTGGTTTGTCATAAATGGCTTTTATCAGGTTGAGGTAAAGACCATCTATTTCTATTTTCTGTAGAGTTTTTATCATGAATGCATTTTGGACTTTGTTGAAAGTTTTTTCTGCATCTATTGAGATGATCATGTGGTTTTTGTCTTTGGCTCTATTGATATGGTGTATAACATTTATTGATTTGCAAATATGGAACCATCCCTGCATTCCTGGAATTACTCTGACTTGGTTTGTGGTATATGATATTCTTGATGATTTGCTGCATTCTATTTGCTAGTATTTTATTGAGTATCTGTCCATCTATATTCATTAGGGAAATTGCTTTGTAGTTACTTTTCTTGGTTGGGTCTTTCTCTGGTTTTGGTATCAGTATAATACTTGCCTCCAGAAATGAGTTAGGGAGAATTGCTTCCTTTTCAATTTCATTGAAGAGTTTGAGGAGTGTTGGTATTAAATCTTCTCTTCTTGTAAAATTCTTCTGTGAATCCAGCAGGGTCTGGGCTTTTCTTTGTTGGTAA